GGTAGCTACGATAACTACGCCTTCTCCAAGCCGACACGCCAAGCGCTCGATAGTCTTGGTGGGAGCGGTCCGGTGCCAACGCCGACGGCATCTCCGGTGACGCCTGCACCCACCGCGCCGCCGACACCGTCGTCCGTGACACCGACTGTGACCCCCGCTCCGGTTACACCAACCCCGGTCCCTGTACCATCGACGTCGGCGCCCAAGCCGTCGTGCGGCATCTGCGCCAACTGCTACTACGCGCCGACCGACGCGTGCTTTGTGGGCTGGACAGCTGCGCAGTGCGCGACCAACAGTGCCTTCACGTGGTGCGGCAAGTAAGAACTGAGTTGTGTCTTTTGCATGTCCAACGCCACGCGCCCTTGTCCGATCCTGCTGGTTTCGGGAGGTAACACAGAATGTAATTTGTGTCTTTGTTTTCGTGAGCAATGCTGCTACATCCTGGCAACGATCTTGGTCGTTGACGCTACTTCGAGGTGCTATGGCGCTGCGCCGCGCGAGACAAGCCCCGTCTTGGCGTGCACGGCGACCGAGATCTCGGCAAACGTCGCAAGAAGATCAACACCATCGACGGCATTGTGGTAGGCGCCCTCAAGATCGCCGGCGAGCTGCTCGAGAAAGGCAAAGTCGTCGCGCCCAAACCCAACACAGTAGCTGAGCGGTCCGTAGCAGCCAAAGGTTGTCGCAATGTACCGCGCCAAGTCGACGCCGTTGCTCGCGTGGTGGGGGCGTCCGTCGGTGAAGAAGAGCAGCACCGGCGTGTACGTGGCATGGTTGTTGCGCGAGAGCACCTCGATCGCCGCGCGCAGACCGTCATTGTAGTTGGTGCCATAACCGCGAAACGGAATCGCCGCACACGTCTTGCGGCCCATCTTGCACATCGGACGCGCTTCGTAGACGATTTCGCTGCCCTCGCTGAACGAAATGACAGACACCACGTCGGGGTACATGGCACCCTTCTTGGCGCGCTGCTGGGCGATATACGCGTACACCGCGTCCTTGGCGTCAATCCACTTCTGGCCGCGCATCGAGCCCGAGGTGTCGAGGACAAACACATGATGCACCATGCCGCGGTGCGCCGTGTGCGTACACGGCAACACGTGGCCGCGCACGAGCGTGTGGCCGGGCGGCGCGTTAGCCACCACCGGCGCGTGCCACGCGTCCAAGGTGCAGTACGACGTCTCGCCTTCCTTGTGGCCGGGCGCCGCGCACTGATACGGACACAAGCCAAAGGCATGGCGGTCCATCGCACTCGCCACCGGATCTTCCCACCCTTGTATCTTCCAGTACGCTGCGTGGAGTACTTCGTCCATGGGCTGCGTTGGGTGCGGTTCCAACGCCGTCGTGCAGTGGCGGCGTCCGTCCGAGGCCATGCACACGTCGGCGCTCGCGTGATTGCAAGGGACATAGTGCACGTGGCCGCGACCCATCTTGACACAAAAGAAAGGGCACATCTCGGCTACGCCGTCTTCGCCCGCCACGTACGCCCGTCCGTCAATGTCCACGCTGGCAACGTCCGAGACAAAGTACGTCTCCGTCATGTTGCCATGCGACGTCGCGTGCAAGCCGGCGTGTCCGACAGCTTTCGTGCAGTAGTAGCGACAGCACGGGCACTGCGCAGTGCACGTGTGCTCATTGACTTCGCACATGTGCGCAGCGCCGTCATGGTCGAGCGCGCCGGCCGGCAGCAAGGCCGCGCACTTCTTGCGCACGCCCACCATCGTCTGCCGTGTATACTCAAACGTGCCACGGCCTCCTTCAAAGGTCGACGACGCACGCTGCACCTTGACCTCGCACACGCCGTCGGCTGCGCACTCGGTCGCGCATCGGTGGTCCGCGCCGCACGAATGGTCGGCGGCGTGAAAGTGGTCTCGGACAGTGCACGGTCGAGAACACCCTGCAATGCTGCAGCCACGCAGACAGCTCGACGATCCGCAGTCGTGACGGTCGTGGGCGATGGCAAAGCGCTGTGTGCACAGACTGCGGCAGTCGGGCGCCGTGCACGGGTGACTGCAGCGATGCTCGGCCACGTTGCACAAGTGCGGTCCGTCGTGGTCAACGGGAAGGTGGCAACCGCCGTCGCAGTTGCTCGCACGCGCCATCTCGCAGCGCGACGTACACGTGTGGTTGGCGCGCGCGCAGTTGCAAGCACCAGTGTGTCCAGCGGCGGCCCCGCACGGCACATTGCCCGTCGTGCAGTACGAGCAGCAGCCTGCGCATCGGTGGTCCGTGCCGCAGTCGTGGTCGACGTTGGCTTCGTGCAAAAACGACTCAAAACACCCGAGCTGACACTTGGCGCACGTGTGCTGGCAGCGGCGCAGATACTGCTTCATCTGGCGCGCGCAAACGTCCAGCAAATCGGCCTCGGCGCGGCCCCCAGCTGCGAGCGATGCAAACCACGACCGGACGCGGTACTCGCGGCGCCAGACGACAAAGTTCCACACCGCATCAAAGAGCGCTTCCGATACCCGGCTGCGCGGCGCGTCCACGCGCATCAGGAATCGCTGCAGGTAGCGCAGCAAGATGGCCTTGGCCATCGCCAGAGTCGACTGCATGTCGTCGTCGTCGGTGACATCCAACTCGAAATCAAGCATTTCGTCGGGCGGCAGATCCAGACCGGCATCGGGAGCCATAATAGTAGTCTGGCGCTGGGCCGTCATGGTCGCATCGTCGTCCGGGCCAAGCGTCATGTCGTCGTCGAGGCAGCCATAGCGCAGAGCGTGGCGAATATCTTCGCACAGCTGCGCCGACTTGTGTGCCTGAACGCTGTCGCCCATGTTGGTCCAATCGAGCAGCGAAATCTTGGCCAGCACCATGCTCAGAGTTTCGTGGCAGTCGGCGCCGTTCGCATAGGCCTTGGCGCGTGCGGCGTGCAAGCTGTCAGCGGCTTCTTCAAGCGCCTCATAGTAGCCTTGGTTGCCCAGCGGTGGACAGCACGTGATGTTCACGCCGCCGCCATACATGACCTTGACAAAGTTGTTGGCCTTGTTTTCGCCCAAAACCGCCTCGAGCTTCGACTTGAACTCGGCGATGACCGACGCTTGGTCGTGCGGGTTGACGTCCTTGACGTTGAGAAGCAGGTGGCCGCAAAAGAGTCGCTCGTCGCCCTTGAGCAGCGCGACGCCTTGCTGAAATTTCCCAAACATGCTGTCCACGTCCTTGTCGAATCGCATCTCAATGCGAAACACCGTGAGGCGCGAGACGGCCGCGTTGAGGACCGAGAGCAGCGTGTCCTCTTGCGCCGACCGCTCAAACGATCCGAGGCCCTCAAAATCGAGCACGACCACGAGGCAACGACCCAGCTGACGCAGCGTCAGCCACACGCCGTCTGTGCAGCGCGCGCCCGAAATCGCAAACGAACTGCCCGTGAGGTGGTTCAAAAAATACGACTTGCCCGTCGACTGCTTTCCCATCGACGTGAGCACAACGACAGGGCCTCGCCACGCCTTGAGCACGTGGCTCGCGGCACCAAAGTCAATCTGCGGCGCCAGCGTGTGCGCTTCCGACCCGTCGGGATACGCCGCCGCAACGCCGTCGCGCAGCAGTAGAAGTTGATTGTCTTGCGCGCGGCAAATGGGCACAGGGACGAAGCCAACCAGCTCGAGGATCCACGGCGCGAGGGCCATTGTCGGCCACACCAGCAACGTGGCGTCCACGATCGCGTCCTTCGCCAACGCCAGCGGCGTCAAGTCCTTCTGGAGGCTTTCGAGCTTGGCCATCACCGCGTTCAGCGTCGTCAAAAGCACGTCTCGACGCGCCGGCGACGACGCGTGGGCCCGCAGCTGCAGCGCCGGGCGGCGCAACGTCGTGTCCATCATGGCGTGCACGGGAAACTTCTCAAACACGTGAAAGACAGCCCAGAGTAGCGACGACTCGTTTGAATTGGCTGGCGCCGCTTTCTGAGCGCACTGCAGCTGCCAAGCGAGCTGACCCGAGACCACGGTCAGTTGGAGCTCCACCACCGCGCCCGTCGTCGGGTCCAGAAGCATGATCGTGTCGGCATAGGCGCGCGCCAGAGTAGCGTCCCAGTCGAGGAGGCACGAGAGCGCGACAATCGTCTCGGGCAGCGGCGCGAGGTTATGTGTGACCAACGTCTGCACGCGAAGGCACTGATTGTCCAGCGGCACGAGGCACACAATAAACGCTCCGTCCTTGAACTTGACCACCTTGGTCGTTGGCGTGGCCACAAACATCGGCACGTGCTTGGACAACTGCTTCGTCTGCAGCGAGTACGACTGCGCGCTGCCGTCGGCGCCAACGCACAAGAGACCGTGATGGTCGCCGCCACACAGCAGAACGTCGCGAAACGGAGGCAAAGGACGCAGTACGCTCAGATCCACTTGGTGCGAGCGTCCGAGCTTCTTGAATGTCGACGTAAACGTCAGCAGGTCGACTTTGTTGCCAGCGTGGACAAGCGCCAGCGTGCGTTGCGTCGGATTAAAGTCGC